TTTTCCACTTACTCAACGTGATTTAATCAAATAACCATTCACCCAGTCACTCACACATTCATACACACATTCTTACACCAGTGTGCAAAGAGAATGGGGGCAAGGTGGGTTAAGTGTCTTGCAAAAGGACACCACAATGGCATTCATCACCTGTGGGTGCTGGCATCACACCTTAACCTGTAAATCTGTTAATCTAACCACTCAACCAATGATATTTATGTTGAAAGCAGGATTTGAACTGCCAGCCTTTGGATCAGTGGATAAACACTTGAGCTGCTGCCTTTAATTGTTTTGTTTTTTTAATATTTGATAGTATGTGTGGAGTACTGCAATTTACAGCCATTTATGAGTACTTTGAGTCATAAGTTATTAGTTGTGTAATGATATCCAAGTCTCACGATACGATATCATCATGGTATGAACCTCACGGTACAATATATATTGCGATATCATGGTAATGCTCATGATATGGTGGGGAGGCTCACGATTCGGGATGTAACAATATACAAATCTTTGTACGATATTTTCACAATATACTTCTCAAGATATTTATTGCGATATTTGTTCCAAAGAACTAAGATTTAAAAGTGTTTAGAACTGTTATTTCTTCTTGTAGTCTGCACTAAAATGGAGCAAAGAATGATGGTCTATGTAGTTCCCTCTGTCTTTTTTAGCTATTGCTGTACCATAACTTTTAATTTAAGCCAAGAGACTTGTAATTAGTGATGGTCTACGATATTATTGTGAGAACTTTGACGATACAATATCACAATACTTCGGTTATTGTTACATCCCAATAAGTTATAGATGAATAAATGTTTAATTTGTACAGTAAACAGACAATGTTGTTTACCTGTGAAATTAGCATGTAATATAATAATATGCCCGTGATGGACCTCTGTTTGCCTTTTTGGAAACAGGTTTTGACAAGTGGTGAAGACTAAAGTAAGATAAGATAGCTGCTGGGGAAGTAAATGGCATTAACTGTTTTTAAATGTTTGGTTAAAAAAAAAAAAGAAAAAGAAAGAAAGAAAGAAGTAAAAATGAACAGAACTTGTCAACACAAAATGACATAACAGAATGACATTTACCAGAGTAACTTCACAATTTTATGAGTTATCGTTAAATTCAAAAGAGCTTACTGTTTACGTGTACAAAAAACAGTTTTCTCATAAATATTGACCACACATTAGGAAGAAGCCGACAGCTGCTTTCCCAGTAAGTCTCTAAATGATTACAGAGTGACTATTTCCTGTCTATGAGGTTGAAGGTCACAGCAGCTTGTTCGCACCTGTAGCTCTGCAAAAACAAATGGACCTCAGAGTTTGCTACTATCTCCACACATGGCTGTAAGAGACTGCACTGTTTTTGGACTGGCACAACACTTTTTTACAACAGAGTCTAGACAGGCTAGCTTAGTCAGCCTGCCTGGTATTTCTACTGACCCAGACCGGCTTGAGCTAAATCCTAACCTCTCTGACATATAATCCAAACTAATATAATTGTGGAAATGCATGCTATGATCCTATTGAAAGTCTTTAAATTGGGGCTGCACAGAATACTGTAATATTCAAAATGCTCAGAGAAATTAAACAAAAAATACTATTTATAATGCCAAAATCGCAACTTAATTCATCTAAATCTGGATCAAAGCAAGGACTAGTGCTTCCCGCATGCTGCAAACATACACAAGAAGTGATAAAACCTATTGATACTTTGCACCTGATGCTCAAGTTAGACTTAATATCTGAGCTTTATTTTAACTCAATCTGACTAGAAAGAGCTGACTTGGTTAGAAATACAACAGGTGAGCTGATTTGCAGACACATAAACACATAAAATTACAGTCACTATCACATTTTTGTTGAAAATCAGACCTAAACAGGACCATGAACGCTCGTATTGATCACAGGCTCCTGAACATGTGTTATTTAAATCCATTTTGTATTCTTTCTGCTCTTCCTGGATCAGTGTGGTTTTCGTCCTGGCCGTGGAACACTGGACCAGCTCTACACTCTCCATCGGCTGCTCGAGGGTTCATGGGAGTTTGCCCAACCAGTCCACATGTGCTTTGTGGATCTGGAGAAGGCTTTTGACCATGTCCCTCGTGGTGTCCTCTGGGGGGTGCTCTGGGAGTACGGGGTCTGGGGCCCTTTGCTAAGGGCTGTCCGGTCCCTGTTCACATTGCCGGCTGTGAGTCAGACCTGTTCCCGGTGCATGTTGGACTCCACCACGGCTGCCCTTTGTCACCAGTTCTGCTCATTGTATTTATGAACAGAATTTCTAGGCGCAGTCAGGGGTCGGAGGGGGTCCGGTTTGGGGACCACAGGATCATCTCTACTGTTCATTAATCATAAATGATGTTGTCTTGTTGGCTCCATCAAACCAGGACCTGCAATGTGCACTGGGGCGGTTTGCAGCCGAGTGTGAAGTGGCTGGGATGAAGATCAGCTGCTCTAAGTCCAAGGCCATGGTTCTCGACTGGAAAAAGGTGGCTTGCCCTCTCCGGGTGGGTGGAGAGTCCTTGCCTCAATTGGAGGAGTTCAAGTATCTCGGGTCTTGTTCATGAGTGAGGGGGGGACGGAACGTGAGATTGACAGGCGGATCGGTGCAGCGTCGGCAGTGATGCGGTCGCTGTAGCGGACCGTTGGTGAAGAGGGAGCTGAGCCAAAAGGCGAAGCTCTCGATTTAACCCTAAGACACATGGGAAGAGCTCGGAGTAGAGCCACTGCTCCTTGACATCGAGAGGAGCCAGCTGAGGTGGCTCGGGCATCTGTTCCGGATGCCTCTTGGGCATGGTTCTGGACATGTCCCACCGGAAGGAGGCCCCGGGGAAGACCCAGGACATGCTGGAGGGACTATGTCTTTCGGCTGGCCTGGGAACACCTTGGGGTTCCCCCGGAGGAACTGGAGGATGTGTCTGGGGTGAGGGAAGTCTGAGAGTCCCTGCTTAGACTGCTGCCCCCGTGACCCGTCTCCGGATAAGCGGAAGAAAATGGATGGATGGATGGATTTTTTCTTGGTGTTTTTAAATCTATTTGTTACTGTCTGCTCATGTATGGATTGTGTCACCAGGGTAATTGCTGAACATTCCGTCAATAGAGATACATGTAGAACACCCCCAGTGTGATCTCGCTGCAAAGTATAAATTCAATATCAAGTATCAGTTCTCAGTAAAACCTCAGTACATGGCATAATTTGGAGTCTATGTACTGTCCAGGGTTACCGATTATTCAATTACTAAAAGAAGATGACAATTATTCCAATAATCAATAAGTTGCAATTAAGTGATTAACCCGTTTCAGCCCTAGTGTCCAGATTTTTGATGTTATACTGTAAGAGGGAAATCTGATTTATTATGTAGCCCTAAAACACATGCTATGATCTAATTCTATTGTTAATATAGAAAGCATGTATGATTTATTAAATAGATTAAATAGAAATTAATACGTAAACAAACCAAGGCAGAGATTTTATTGTAAGAGTAAGACAGAAAGGTTTATGATAATGAAAAATGTATTCAAGATGTTTGTTGAAACTTGAGGACAATGGGTCTAATGTAAACCATGTCTCTTCATAATGGATTTTCTGCAGTTTATGTTGTAGCTAGTAATTTAGCCCACTATGCTGTACTTTGTGTGGGAGCAGCCTGTAGCATTTCCACTAAAAATGGTGTGACTAAAGAGGAAACAAGAAGCAAAGATCGTCTAATGTAAAAAATGTTTTTGATATCTCAGATTAAATGTGCACTGTGTAACTTTTCTAGTGGAGGATACGCCACCTGTTTGTCTCCACGGTGGTGAGTATGACATTAATTATATTTATCTTCACGGACACATATAGGTTGCGCCACTTGGTCAAGTTATAAGCCTGATGTGTGAAAATGCATGTTTTGAATGGATTTTTGAATAATAGAAACACATGTAATTAAATAAAATGCAGATAAGTTTAATGCAACACAGTGGAACATTCAGGCAAAGCTGTAACATCTCCATGGAGACAAGCAAAAAAGTTACACAGAGAAGCTTTAAACAATCTTAGTTCTGTTGAGTTGTGTCTGAGGACTTTGTCCAGGACCCTAAAAACTCAGAATAATATTACATCGATTATCTACCACCTTGAGAATGCCAAATTTTGTATCAACTCAGAAGCCTGGTTAGTACTGGGATAGGAGATCTCTGAAAATACTTAGCTTGAGAATTCACCAACTGTGAGTTTTGTAGGCTGATGCAACAAAGGAGAATGCCTGGAGTAAACCTATTCAGACCCAGTGAGAACATAGACTGATTAATCAGCCGGTTTCACTTTGTGGAAACCTTGTGACCTCACAGCATTAGGATTTGTGCACTTGAGATTAGGCAGGTACTTTTTTTTATTTAACAAATCACTGCTATGTGGTGGTGACGTATGTAATGTGCCAAATCCCGTAGGAAGAAGGACAATAACGTCTTCCCCCTTAATAAAATTCACCAAACATTCTCCTTGTTCCGGATTTAAATCCTTGATCTCGGGAATCGTTGCCAACATAAAATGTATGGCTTTGTTTACATCCATGTCGACTGCTTCGTTTACTGTTGTGCTGTACCACAAAGGTTGGGATTGCTGAGATGAGAAGCACTAACTATCTGAAATTTTAATGGGCCTGTCACGATAACAAATTCTGAAGTTCAATATATTTCTGTAAATATAAATAATAATCGATAATATTTAAACTAATTCATACCATTGACACAATCACCCAAGTCACAAAAACTACAAAATGTCCAATATTTTCAAACCATGAGCTGCAATAAACAAACAGAAGAATGAAACACTTTAGTAGATGTCACAGAACTTTCTATAGTATAAATCTTATCTTATCTTAGAGCCAAAAAATAATAAATATCTACCTAGTGCAAAGAAAATGTACACATGATAAATATTGACCCCCGCTTTCTTATATTGAAGTTGATATAGTAATTATTGTGACAAGTCTGCATGTTACAGTACGGCCATCTTACCTTGACAAGACTTGCCATCAGGGCCCAGTCTGCTCCCCTCCGGACACTTGCAGTAGTAGCTCCCGATGACGTTACAGCAGTAGCCCTCACAGCCGCCTTGGTCCACTTCACATTCGTTAACATCTGAAAGAAAAGCATTATGGAGCCGACTGAACCAACACAATGCACAGTGCACAAAACAGCAGCTCAATCATGTGCGACAAGACAGCGGACATTTGACTCTTTTGAGCTCCGCTTTCTTAATCCTCGCGGGGTTCCGTCCTGAAGTTTTATTTACATCTTAAAGGAGAGAATTGTGTGGGAGGGTACTTTCACTCTCTCCCTCGCCATTCTCACAATCTGTCATTGCGAGTTTAAATTATAGTGAAAATCTTTAAGCGAAAGTGCAGGATATTTGAATTGAAACCAGGGATATCACATTCACAAGGTAAGTCTATAGATTTTTTGTGGTATGAAAAAACACAAATACGATTGTTGTTGTAGACACGACTGTTAAAATTTTCTTAAGGGTGCAATATGTAACTTTTTGGTTGGGAGTCCATCACCTGCTTGTTTATATGAATATGCCATTGCTCTGCCTGGAATGTTCCACAGTATGGCATTAAACAGCTCTACCTTACATTTAATACCTAGAAAAACAGGCATTCTGGTCTAACCTGGTCTGGTTTGGTCTCCATGAGGAAGGTTTAAAGCTGTACCGTGAAACATTCCAGACAAAGCAATACCATCTCCATGAGGAAAATCATTTGAATGCATGTTTTTCTAGATATTTTTTAGCTATAAAATCAATTATAATTGAATAAATGTAAGCTAGAGCTGTTTAATGCCATACTGTGGGACATTCCAGGCAGAGCAATGACATTACCATGACATTACCATGGAAGCAAGCAGGTGACAGACCCCCAACCAAAAAGATACACAGTGCACCTTTAAGTTGTTCCTGATAAAGTGTTGATTTTCATTCAGTCTATATTTTTTGTTAATGATAATTACACCTGTTCAGTCCAGTGTTTCCTAACCAGTAGTACACATGTATGCAAGCAGTTACCAGAAGGAATACTTGGAATGGCATCACATTTTAAAAGAAGAATACAAAATGTTCCTTGTAGTTCATTTCACATCCTTCCAAAAACTGAAACTGGAGTTGTGTTTTGCTCCATTCACAGATGATTAACAGACAAACCCTGCATATTTAGTGTGTTTTTCCCATACTGAAAACACTTGTGATGCCATATGGTAATACACCAAGTGCTCCACTGTGTTTTTAAACTGCATACACCTTCAATAGAAACATTTGGATAATTTCATCCCTGAAATTGCAGATCTCTACTGAACAAAAGGCAAAAGGTAGCACTTGGATTGCACTATAGCATATACTTGGAAACTACTGCTTCATGACATCACAAGGTGGAACAGAGCTTTGTTATGAATGAAACAAAACAACACTAGATATGTTTTTGATGAGATAACAACATTTGAACATGGCTTAAAGCTCAATTTTGCGAAATATTGGACAAGAAAACAGTAACAATTGATAATATAGCTTACTATTAAAGTAAACTGATTTATTTACCTACTATCTGAGTTGGGGTTTACTCAGACTGTGACAAAATGGTTGGGAATCACTGGTCCATAGCAGCAGTTCAACAACATTAGTTCAGCTCGATCTAAAGCCTGTGTTGTCTTACTTTCCTTGGCACAAACTGTTTCTTTCCCATGCTATTATTATTTAAGACTTCCCTTTGAACACTATTATCTATATCAGATTAAGGATATAAAATGCAGATATCGCCACAGTGGACCACAAAGCCCTACAGATTTTAACACAAAATGAATCACTTATGCTGGCACTTCCTGATCATCGGGGACGAAACAGAGGAAATGAAAGTGAACTCCACTGCTCTGTCCCCATCTGTAAAAAGTATTTAATAGGACCTCTCAGCTTTGGCAATCACCTGGAGATTTCACATGGAGAACTTAGTGGAAAAAGGATAGGTGATAGGAGGAAAACAAGGAATGTGTTGCATGCCGAACAGCACTAGTTTCAGTGATAGCCTCCATAAAACCTCGGTAAGTCTATAAATAAAGGCATCTGGTCATTACTTGGCTTGTAATTAAGTTTCAACTTCACCCTAAGCTTTTTAATCACAGTAGTATAGAATTTTAACACAAAGTCTTCCCCAACCTCCCGGTGTTTTGGTATTTAAACAAAGGTTAAAGGTAGAACAAGAACCATTAGGACTTCAGTTGTGCAGTTTTGTTTCTTTTTGCCAAATATTTATGGCAATATGAAGAGTCTAATATGTTTTTTAGATAAGACAAACATAAGTCAACTGAATGACTTCTCAAGCCACATTCAGACAGTACCATAATTTGTTTAGTCCAGTGATGCAATGCAATGCAATGCAAAAAAATAAATAAATCTAGCCAATGATGAATTGGCCTGAATTAAGAAAGTTTTATCATGATTTGAGTACATTTCACTTGACAAGTAAAATTATTTGCCAGTGGAACAAGACTTTATGTACTTAAAATATGAAAATACATCTTGCTACACTTAAAATAAGAAAAACAACTTTTTGCACTTTAAATAAAAAACAAAATCTAATGTTGCTTGAATTTAAAAAAACACACTTATTCCATTGGCAGATAATTTTACTTGTCATGTTGAATCTACTCAAATAAAGTACAGTTATCTTAATTTAAGTAATTTTAACTTACCTAGATAATATATATCTATATGAAAAAAATAGGTAATTGGTCAGCCATAATTTTGAACAAAGTAAAATTACAAAGTTTTAGTGCTTCACTCATTGATTCTACAGAAGTCTATGATGTATTTCAGTCTTCTGTGAGTTTTTAATAATTTTTTTCCTTTTTTTTTTCCATATAAGAAGTCATGTTCGTTTTGATTCGGACCGTGCATGCCCCCAATTGGTTAATTCGCCTGTCAATCACGGCCATCAGACATTGGAGAGATACAACCATGACCAGATGATCATAGAGTAGTGAACAACTGTATGCTGGACCCCCGGCAGTGGCTGCATAGCTCTCTTTTGTCAAATGAGAATTCTCCTTTTATAATGTTTCAGTGCACTGTGTATCCCATATGAGTACACAGCAATGGAGAAATTCAATTCTGTCAACTGGACAAAAGTTTTTGATCGACTTTTGTCCAGTTGACAAAATTGAATTTCTCCTTTGCTATGGATTCTACCTGTCTAACTGTATGAGTACAGTTTTGAGTTTTAAGATGTTTTGATTTAAGATGTAAAAAACAAGCATTTGTAAAGCTATTATTCAAAACTATTGTGGGTAAAGTTAACAAACAGTACTGATACCAAGCAACCTGAATGTACAGGTTAGAGAAAGACACTAGATGAACAATCCACATGTCCTCAGAAACTAAGGATGGGTCGCCATAATCATGACACAGGCCACACCCACACTTGGTTTCAAAGGTAATGCAGGTCACGTTGGCTTTGGCATCTCATCTACAGCAGCAAATGAAGTGTCCTTACCTGCTGTCACATGACTGTCACTGTCAGCCAATGCCTGCTAACCTTGCTGCTTTATTTATATCATTCTCTCTCTAATCCAATAATAACTTCTGATACATGCAAACCCACCTCCACCCCATAGCGGCATAACCATCAGCCACATCAACCTCTCTCCATGTTCTTCTCTTCACTAATGTCTATACAGTAAACATCAGAGTAGAAATACTGATATACTTAAATAGTTACTCACCAGAGACGTGGTTGTACTAGTATTTTTCATTTACTCATAAAAAGGTGTCACAGGATTTTGCTCCCAGTGCCCTGCCCCCTACACTTCTTCCCTCTGATCTCCACTGCCCTAATGAACTCTCCATATCAGCTTATGGTCACTAGGCATCAACATCAGGGCACTAAGCTGATGCATTAACACTTTACTTTTCCCTTTAGAAAGCAAGAGACAATTCCTGCAGTAAAGAAGGTGTCTGTGATGTACTGATTATAATGTACCTCCCATCTCCATGCAGCTGGAAAAACATCCGCAACATTCTTCATGGTACAAGATTCCATAAGGATTCTTCTAGAGTTTATTCCTTAAAGGTCCTATATTATGCAAAATTGACTCTGGTGAGTTTTGTGCTGTTACTTCCTCAAAAATATCCCTACAGTTACGTTATGTTTCATTCACACATGTTTGAGTAACCCTTTATTATTATCTACATCTCCAAAGCTCAAAATGCTCCACCTTGTGATGTCATGAAGCTGTAATTTTCAAGTTAACAGATACATTTTTACCTTTAGTTCAGAAGAGATAAAGAATTCCAGGGCTGAAATTATCTAAATGATTCTAGTGGAGCACTTCCTGTATTAGTGTTTGTGAGAAGTACTCAGCCTAAATATGCAGGGTTTGTGCGTTAAATGTGCATGAATGAAACAAAACACATCTCGGGGTATGTTTTTGATGAGGAAACAACATTATAACATATCAAAAAATAGCATCATATGGACCCTTTCAGGTGTCTCTATGCAACACTACATCATCTAATAAGCATAAGACTGATTTATAACAAGAAGCAGAAAGGATAAATGCCTTACAGGAATATGGTGTATGAACAGCCGACGACTCCCACTGGATTTGATAATATATTATATGTGAAATAGTAAGACAAAACAAAGACAATTATTGTTCTTTTGGGATGTGTAAATAACAAGAAACCATTGCTTCAAGTAATACAGCCAAATTGATTTTCACCAAATTCAAGAGAGTGGGTAGAAATGGAAAAGAGTGCAACCGTGACATCGGTTGTATCTCCCAGGGTGTGGGTCAGTCCAAACATGTTGAAGATAGTAATAAAATTGCATTATGGTGCTTTTAAGTTTTTATTTGACATTTTATAGACAAAAATGCTCATTCCAGGAATATTTTACCATCACCTATTGTTACATTCTGTCTGTGTTTGATTAATTTACTCTGATTAGAAAATGACCCCTTCAGATTAAATGAAACATAGACCTGTATTTATTGTTATTTACATGTTTTGGCTATGGCTAACTAGGGAAAAATATTAGAGATTTACGATTAGGAAAAATATCTGACACACAAATACATTGTTTCCCAAAGACTGG